AGTCTCATTTCACTCTCCCCCCCTCATTTACTTGATTTGAATAGAAGGCTTAAAATCAGGCTTGTCATGCCAAAAAATGTAGCAAAATAAGAAATAAACCGATTAAGTTCATCTGTTTTTCCTAATGCAGCAACACAAACTGCTCCCTCCAAACCCCAGCACTGCACACTCTGTCAGGTACTAAAGCACCTTGAAGATAAAGCTTTTTTTCTGTTAAATACAGTGTAACTGATCCAGGTTGGAAATTATAAGGCACACACAATTTTGTCTTTGTTTTGTTTTGTTTGTTTGTTTTTTTTTAAACACACATTCCCAAGTATTGTTACAATCGTGGTATTCTGGGTGGCCCATCAAAGGACAAAAGGAATGAAAGTTCACAAAACGCAGAAAAAATACAGGAAAAAAATTCAGAAAAATGCCCAAACCAAAGAATAAAACAGAACATAACACATTGATACAATGTACACTATGACAGCAATGATCCATCAACTCTTCTCATTTCTTTGGCCAACAAGCAGAGACAAATGATTGCAAATCATTCTTTGTTTTGCACTGTAAATACCTGACTTTATTTAGATACAATGATGTTTAGCACTGGATTGCCACAGTACCTGAAATAAATAAATAAAAAGAACCCACACAGGCTGATTTTCTTCTGTGTTTTTAACAAAACCAAGCTGCCAAGTGATTGTTGTTGGGAGAATTATGAGAGAAGTAACAGGTAGCTACAAAAATTATGAAGTAGAACAACATCTGAGAAGTGAATAGTAGTTAAGGAACATATGAAACCAAATGGCAACAGTTCTAGGCATTTATTCCAATATCTTAGAAAATAAAAATAAAAAATATTCTTCATTGCATCACCATTTAAAGATAGAAAAACAAATTTTTAACTTAAGCCAAAAGATGTGAATTGTTTCCTTATATTTTTTTATATTTTTTTCTTTTTTTTCCATTTGAACTGTATTCCATTTTCCGGATTTCCATTTGGAGCCTTGTTCATTCATAGTAAAAACCAGACCCCACCGGGACAGTTTTTAAGTCACAAGATGCACAAAGTTGGACAAGGAGCACTGTTCCCTTTTCTCCTCTGGAAAGCTGCTCTGCCCTACAATATCTCCAGGTCCTCAAAAAAAACCCCCCAAAAAAAGTGCCCCACTTTTCAGTGCCTTTTGAAATGTCAGAAGAGCCCCAGAGTAGGAGCAGCAGCACTGAGTTCAGGGCATGCATCCCCCCCACGCTCAGCCAGGACAAACAACATTCCATGATTATCCCAAATCCACCTTAAGGCAAATAGATAGGAAGTTTTCTACCTCTTCCTACATTTTTTTACTTTCCAAACTTCAATCGTGAACCTGAAATTTAGTAAATGAACATTCAGCATAAAAAATGCTTTAACCAGAAAGAAGAAATAAACAGGAAATGCTTTTTCCCAATGGCAAATCAATTATTTCCCATTAATTCTACCTACATTTTGTTAAAGCATTTTATGCATTTTCAAAACAAATTGCAAGTTTTTTGGCAACTTTTTTTTTTTTTTAATAAAAATCCAGACAGTGTTCTCTGTTTGCAATCAGAACCACAACCTTAGTGCAATATTATATTTATTTCTTACAGTAATTTTGGTTGCCATACAAGAGTATTAAGGATTGGGGAAAAGTGCAAGTTACAGGAGCTTGATTTTTTTAATCAGTTGAAATAAGAGGAATTAAAGCACAAAAATTACAGCAACATAGATAACGTGAACACAAGTTGTTACACAAACTATAGCGAGAAACATATTAATATCTAGAAAAGAAAAGAAAAAATGTAATGGTAAAACTATCAGTATTTGTGGCTCATACACATAATCATCGCCAGATCGACTGGGTAATGCTTTTTAAGAACTGAGAGAAAAGAAAAAGAAATCACTATTTTTTTATTAACTTAAATACCACAAATAATTAACTCTTTGTGATATGTAAATTCTGTAAATCAACAGTCACATCTAGTCATTTTATAATATATGAATTAAACTTAAAATGTTCTCAGACACCTAGGGCAAGGAGTCTGTGCAGTTATACACAATTTACATCTTGTAAGATTTTGGTATTGTATACACAAATATTACAGAAACTAGGCATGTAAATGCAATTTATTTAAATTACAGTATATAAACAAAAGTTGATCCTAAAACCCAGAATATCATAGACCTCTAACGACTTGTTTTTCACTGTCAAAGTAGCATGAAAGAAATGGGTCTTCTCTCCTCCCCCCCAACATTTCCAGCCCGGTGAGAACACTCGGAGGGGATGTCGTTATCTGTTACTATTGCTTTCTGTAGCCAAACCATCTCCCAGTTAGAGACCAATTCATCTTGGCAGAGGTGTATTTTAGTGGTGAAAGTAGATCCTCTCAGGTCTCCTCACCTTCACTTCGTGAGACACAGCGTAAAAAATCAACTCTTTTGTTGGCTCTTTAACCTGTTCAACCTCTTTTCTACTTGCATTGCACCTACTCTTTCAGTACCTGAAAAGATGCATGAGAGCAAGAAACACACCTGTGTAAGAAAGGGATGATGTCAACTGGAATTTAAAGGGTGTGTCAGCACTTGTTCAACAGAAATTCACCAAGAAGGTTGTGATTCAAAAGCAGCTTAGAAGTCAACTTCTAAATTTTCTATTACTACCATTATTCTCTAATGTATTTCTGGCACATGTTATAGAGGTAATAGCAACGGTACCCAAAGAAACAAAACAAAACAAAACCAACCAAACAAACAAAACAAAAAAAATACAAGAGCATGGCATTAGTGGTTTATTTACTGAATTCTGTCATATCACCAAATGGAAGACAAAGATGGCTAAATTACCATTTTTTTCACTTCTTAAAGTATGTGATGGCCTCAAGTTGCCTGCATCAACTATCTAAGTGGAACTGCCATTTTCTACACCACCTATGGAAAAAGTCAGTACTCTTGGAAGGAAAATGCCTTAGTACTTCATTTTTTTTTATTACAAGGTTCCTTGGAACTTTGAAATACAAATATAGCATAGTAACAGATGTTAAGTCAAAATATTTGTTGTTCCATAAAGGGGACAGGAGGGTAAATAAGATGCTTTTTGTGAGTATCCAATGCATTGGTAACTGTAACCACTTTTGAAGAAATATTCATCCTCCTCTGTAGAAGTTCTAGCAAAGATAGAAAATATAACACAGCTCTGCTGGTTCAGATGCATCCAAATGAGGTTGATTTTAAAAAGGTCAAGACTTTATAATTATTCCACAGAAATAGTAGTAAACCACAAAAAGTTTGTTGTTTTTTTTTGTTGTTTTTTTTTTTTTTTCTGTTTGTGTTTTTTTTGTTTTGTTTTTGTTTTGTTGTTGTTATTTTTAACTTCCTAGCACTGAAGTGGCACAAAGGCTGCCCAGTAGACCAGCCACTTATTTTCTTAAAATATTGTGCTTATAAACTATCTGTACAACTATTTAAACTTGCAGTAAAGAAAGATATTTAAAATGCTAAACTTTATGTACTCATACTAGGGCTGTTGCAGACCTAATTACACATTTGTTTGTGAGCAAAAAATAATCACAATAAAAAAATTAGAGATAGGCTGGACCATATCAAGGAAAGAAAGTCAGGTACCTTGTAAAATGTAAGAGAACCTGAAAGTATGGTAGGTAGGCAGTTTAGCCATCCACAATCAATTTACCCACCTTGAACATCTTGAATATTCTGTCCATAAAGACCTACAAAACTCACAGATATTCAGAGGTGTTAATTAGAAGGGGAGTCCAAGCATGCAGAGAGAGACTTGTTAACTTTAAAATTTGTGTCAGAAAAATAAAAGAGATTTTTTAAAAAAAAGTTCTGTGAACCAAATGTGGGTGTTTTTCCCCTGCTGACTGAAGTCTCCTGGAAAGCTCTCTCTGCCCCCAGCCCTGGTTTCTGGCAGGGTGAACACACCTCTCCTGCCAAAGAAAGGATGGGCAGTGTCCAGCTCCCCCCAACACCCAGCCTGTGCCTGTCAAGAATCCAATAGCTGTTAACAGTGATAAAATGAGACACTGGGGCCCTCCCCAAACCTCCTGGGCTCTTGGAACACATGCATCCTGAGGCACTCTGCAGCTCTTTCCATCTTGGCGTCACCCTTTGGCCTTTTTTTTTTTTTTTTTTTTTTTTTTTTTTTTTTTTTTTTTTTTTTTTTTTTTTTTTTTTTTTTTTTTTTTTTTTTTTTTTTTTTTTTTTTTTTTTTTTAACAAGCTGAAACATTTTGATTTCTAACAGGCTGAATTCCCTCTCTCACTTAAAATACTGGCACCCTTCCCACTGACTTCAATGGGAACATTCATCTGTCTTTTTCCTTGTTTTTTTGGCCTGATGGTGAAAATAACTAAGCACTTACCACTCACTGAATCAAACAGCACCTCTCAGTGCCCAGCATATTTGAGTGCCTGACTGTCAAGTCCAAAAGATGCGTCTGCACATGGCACCAAATTTTTCCTGGCTTGTGGAGTTCACTTTGTGACTTAGCAGTGGTTTAGCTGGTTGAAAACTGGTGGTCTCAGGTTCAAACTAGCTTCATTTTGTTGTACCTCTAAGTGTGCATCCCTCCCTGGGTAATGCAACATCTGCATTGTCTTACAGGTCAGGTCAATGGAGCATGTATTGAACTTGTTCTGCCACCTTGGAAGAGTGCTAAATATAACTGCAGAAATAAAGAAATACCAGGTAAAACAGAGCAAGGTTACCTTTGAACTACTTCCAGCAGAACAACCAGCTTCACTGCCAACAAATAAGAAAGCTAAACCAGTAAAAAAGAGGAACATGAACTCCTGTACCCGTCTCAGTATCGTGCCTCTGCTCTTAAAATAACTGGGTTTGAATGGTAATGAAGCAACCTGTCCTCTTAAAATGAGCCAAGGGTTGGGGAAGGAAGCCTGCTCGGAGACTGAAGGTCAAGAAGAGAAAAAAATAAAATTCAATTATTTTTTGTGTTTGTTTTTTTTTTTTTTTTTCAATAAAAAAAGCCCCGAAATGTTTGCAATTTGAAATGGAAAGAAAAGCAGTTTGCCACAGTCCCAGCAAAGTGCATCAAGAGATAGTATTTTTGAAGTTAACAATCATCTCTCTCTCATATCTCCCCACAACTTAGAAATAAAATGGCCCCACTTCTTTAACATCTTTAGATTTGTGTTTGGGCACGTAGCATACAGTCTGCATCACCTGAGTACCAGGAATTCAACTGTTTTCCCCCTCCCCACCCCCCAGTTTTGCTGGCACTCGCAGACACACAAGGCATTTGGGGTATGTCAGTACCAGCCCATCTCTAGTTATCAACAGAAGTTTGTGAGGCGAAATAGCTATTCTTATCTGTCCAGCAGCTGCTTCAAAGCTCTTTCTATGTTCATTCTGTGCCCAACTCTAGTCACTCCAAGGTCTATCAGATCTTCCTTCTGTAGATTTGGTAAATGTGTGCCATCTATTTCATTGTCCATGAATGTTTCTTTATGTTCACCTAAGTTTAGACTTTCCAACCAATCTGCCACATCTGGTTTAGTCCACAGGTGGACAGGCTTAGTTGTAAAAGGCTTATTTGAGATTGGCTGTTGTAATATTGAGGGAGAAGGAGACCTGCTGCGCCCTGTGGTCAAGCCAAATAAGTCCCCAGAAGGGGGCTGGCTGGGTAGGCTAAATACATCAGACAGAGTTGGAGAAGGAGATGAAGCTGAAGCAGAAGCAGTCAGAGAGGCAGGTATGATGTCTTTATTAATCTCTGTTGGTGAAACCACAGGGCTTGGAGCATGTCTTGCTCCTGAGGTCCTACTGTCATAGTCTGGGGACCTGCTCTGCAGTGTGATCGGCTGGCTGGCTCCTGGTCGGACAGTGAAAGTGATTGTTGTACTTCGTGTACCTGAGACAGTACTCATGACTTCCGTGCTCCTGCAATTGCAAACAGAAAGGGAGAGTTAGATCTGGCAACCAGCAGCTGCAAGGCTCAACATGTGGTACTTACTGCATGGGAATGCTCGAATATTTCCAATTTTTAATGAGTTAAAAGTATAAAAAAATGTATTATGAAATCTTCCCCAGAAAATGACAACCAACGGTAAGCAATAGTTTAAAACAAAATCTTTACTTATGAGCAGTTTAGAAAAATACCTCCCAGAGCAAATTCTTCCTCTTTGAGGCCACACCAAATTAACTCCTGGTTAAATGAGAAACACCAAGTGGATCAAGCTCTTGTGCTCCCTCTGAAGTGTGATCAGGAGTTGACCTCCCCTTCATCACGTGGAGGGTTGGGATCCTTCAGCTCAGCTTTAACCCACTGCTTTTACATATAACATAGTTAATGACAGTTGTAGAAAGTTTCAGAAGCAATGGATTTTTGATCTTTGGGCATCTACCCAATGAATTTTACAGTCTGTTTGTATTTTAGGGTATGTTTATAGTCCCATTTGTTCACTGAATATGCCCCACAAGCTCCTCTTGCTTCCCTTTCTATTCAGCTGGACTTTTCGTGCTTTAAACATGAAACGCTCCCTCTAGGCTTCCTAAAAAGACTTTGTGACCATTTCCTTCTACACAGAAATTATACTTTGGCAGTTTCACTACAAAATTAAGGAGACAAAATCCTTGCTACTGCGCATGCCCAAAGGTGATGTAGTTGTGATCAAGTGTTGCTTAAAGAAAATGAATTTCAGATTACAAACTAAGCAGGCATGAGAGGCTTGCTCTGACACCCAGGCTGACAGGGTGGGTGAAGGAGTAAGCAGGTCTGCTTTTGCCTGGTGGCTACAGAAGCAAATTTAGAAGGTTTGGGTCTGTTCATATCACAAAATGCTTAACCCCACAGCCCTCATTCCCATGAGAAGAGTCTGCAAGTCAGTGTGTGTGCTCTTCAGGACTTTCCACAGAACTCTTAAGCGCCTTAAGCTCCAGAGTTTTTTACTTCAAAAATATCCTGCCAACTGGCAAAAACCTTCAGACAACTAATTTAAAGCACTTGCAGGCCAAAGGAGGGATTTATTTATCCTTGAAGCAATGCCATGGACTCCAGGGGATGATCTGGCTGATGCTGTAGTGAGATTTCCACTCCCAGGCCCTGACTGAAGTCCTCTGTTCCTGAGTGCCACACTGCCCTCAGGCCTGACATGTCCTGCCTGGGCAGAACTGAAGATGACTTGGGTGCATGATGTCACATACAAATGCTTCCACTGATCCTGCAGATTCACTGCTGTACAGAAAAGAGCTTATGAAACTAAAGGAAGACCAGGATCCTGGAGCCTCTACAGTTAAAGTGCTGGTATCAAAGAAACTCTGGTCTCACTCCTAAGTCACTGCTTAAACCTTTTGTATTAACTGCCACCAAATAGAATATCAAAAATGATCCACACAGCAGGGGCAAACTCCACCTCTGTTCTCTCTGAGGTATGTCCCCCCACCACTAAATGTGCTGTATAATGAGAGACCCTCTTTTGTTCCTCTGCCTCCTCTGTAATCGTGGTGGCTTTTCTCCTGCCAGCAGAACATTGGGACTGCTGGGAAGGGAGATGTGGCACACAGGGTCATTCTGCCTCCCTGGGTCTGTTCCCCAGTGACATGTAGTTGGGAAGGTGGGGCGATTTTGCTGTAGTCACCCACATTCTGCCTAGAAGAGTGGTTAAAATTTTAAATAAAAAGATGGTGGTGCCAGCACTTCTTCACCACCTACCCTAACCTGTTCCCCTTGGGACGTACAATCCATCACCAAAATGAAAAAACATAGGCAGCTCACCAGTAAGGTTATCAATCCCTTTCTCTCACACTGCAGCCCCGGTAGCCCTGAACTGGAGACCTCCTTCGGTGATTTCTTGCTCGGCTGCTGGCTGTGGTGAGCTCTGACAGCCACACACTCCCTGCACGCCCTCTGGGGCTCTGGCACACAGTGAACCATCCCAGACACCAGGTAACTGCAGCACTGCCCCTCCAACATTCCCAGCACACCCTCCTGACGTGGGGAGTCCATTCAAACAGAGCTCCAACACCATGTTATTAGAAAAGCACTAAGAATAATTTCTTGGAGCACATACATTTCATTCACATGAACGATCCCGCTGATTTGCACAGGTTGTTCCATATACTTCAATGGGAACAGGGGGATCTTTCTGAAAGATTGCTACTTCGCTTAAACCCCAGTAGGAACAACACTTCTGGCACTTGTGGCTTTGTAATTTGACAAAGAAAGGAAACACTTGGCAAGGTTTTGACTGTTTCCTGTGATTTTTCAGAGCTAATGGCTCTCATTGTCTTCTAGCGCTGGAGCTAAGCATTCCTACAAATATAAACTCTATGGCAAGAAACTATTATATCCTACTAACCAAGGGAAGCAAGTTATTTCTACCTACTTTACCTTAGCATGAGGAGTCTCACATTAATTACTAAGGCACGATATAATTTTAAGTCAACAAAAAGCCTGCTTTGAAAAAGCCTGGGGTAGTGAGGGCAAGAAAAGCAGAACGAGCTTTGTAAAAATGTGGAAATGAATACCTGATCTTTACCTGCAATCGCTCTTCTACTTTACTTTCCTGTCGTGCAAGTAATAGCAATTATGGTTTTGCGTTCACCCCTATCATGGCAACATCAAACGGATGATGAAAATCCATCTTCGTTTATGCTAGATCATGAAAGATAATTTTTATTAACTGACTGACAGCTACAGGCTCCGTGTACACCTTCTGCTTTGTAACTCAATTTTGCTGCTTCTCTTCTATTTTTCCTCCTATAGATTCCCTATTCATCCCTGTTCAAGAAATCACTGTCACTGTTCCTTTAAATAAAGCACATTAAACTAAAGCAAAACCCCCCAGAGTAAAGTGTGTGTTCTTATTTTAAGCATTCCTTAGCTAGTGCTCTCTACCCTTTTCAGCCCCACAGGCAGGAATACTGGGTGAGCAAAGCAACCCAGGCAGTGTGGTCCTTTGCCTTCTGTCAGCCTGGATCAAAGTGGTGGTTTCACATGGCTGGAAGCAGCAGCAGATCTGGGGGCATCTTCCTTTTTTCAAGCCATAGGTTGAGGACTGCTGACCATTACAGTAAAACTCTGGAGCAGAGATAAGAATTTTGTTTATCTTAGCTGATCCGTGATGTTTCAATACCAGCTCAGTTTACCATGTAAGTTGTGCAGCTCTTCTAAAATCAACCCTTTTATCCAAATGCTCAGGAGTATTTCTTTCACATGGACAGGCTCAATCCTACAGCAACACCCCCTTTTCAAGGAGGTTATTAGTTCTCCTACACACTTGGGAACATGGACAAGTCTGTGGGTCTGTGTTCCCACGGCTGCAGCAGCTCTCCTGTTTAAGGACAAAGTTTTAAGCACAGCAACTTGAGGTCACTGCTGCCTGCTAGAGTGAGATTGTGCTCAGTTCCCAGCTGCTGAGCTGCAGACAGCTCTGCTCCCAGCACAGCCCTCAAGTGAAGGTCCAAAAGTCTGCTGAAGCCCACAGCAGCACTTCCAGGCTTTCACTTCCAAGCCTTTGATTCCGAGATTACTTTTTTCATTCTTTTCCCCCTTTTTTCACCTGCCATATCAACTCCAGCATGCTATAGAGACTGCTGCGCTGTAATTGTAACCCAAGGGAAAAAACAAGGATATTTATGTAACTTCTATGCCTCCTAAATTATATTTTACGACATCTCCAATACAATCTGTGGTGCAGACACAGCCTTGAAACCATCATCTGTCTTGCATTTTCTGGTTGATTTGTATCTTGGTCAAGAAGGAGCATTCCAGCTGGAGAGCAGGCATGGTTTGCTGTGTTATGCGTTTTCCAGATTTTTAATAGGAGTAATTTCGTATGCCTTATTTGATCATCTGTTATCCTAAACACATTAAATCCATATTAAACCTGCCAAACCCCAAATTTCATTTTAAAAAAGGTGAAAAGTCTGATAATTATTTTAAATAAAATTTGCTCTGTTAGAATCCGCATATGGTAGTAATTTATAAACATTTGCTGCTGTGAGACTGCACTGATTGCAATGCCCATTATGTTGCCTCATATTAAAATCAAAATACATAACCTATGTGTCACAATGCCTCCAAGTATAAAAGCCATCGACAGAGTTTGTAGGCAAGAAATTATTTTACATTTTAAATTATAGTTGCAGGATTCAAATTTACTGTTAACTTAATATCAGAAGCAAATCAGTGAAAGAGGGCGTGGTGGGGCAGCTCCCAAGGAAAAACCCCAAAAAACATCATGCTCAGCTCATGGGAGCTGTTTTATCCTGCAACTTGCCAAAAGACCTGCTGGTTCTGACACAGCTCTTCCATCGTACCAGAGAAAATATATCTTAACAATCAAGAGAAGCAACAAGTGGGTCCTTCACAGAGGTGCTGAGAGAAATTAACTTCTCTGATTTTTGAGACCACACAAACCCCAAACTTCGCCTTCATCTCTCCTAGTATTTTTACTTTCTTTTTGGACTGTCAAGGGAAAATTGTATGGTAGGAAAGTAAGACAATAATTGTCTGTTTTGGGGGAAGATGAAGAAGAAGGGCTGACATGATGACTGGCAGGATACAGAACTCCTCATAATAGTGTTATTTTAGGGAGAAGAACGGAGAGATGCTTGGTGTCTGCTGAGAGCAACGCTGTGCAGTTGGAGGGAAGAATAATCAGGAGGGTCTGTAGGAGTCTGTCTATTCCAGAGTTTCCATGTGAATAACACAACGATCTGGAAATCAGCAGAAAGGGGAGGCTGCTGCTGAGGGGCACAGGACCAGGTGACAGTCCCAGCCCTCTCTCCTTCCAGAGTGGCAGGGAAAAGGGAAGCTGGAAGGGGAAAGGGGGGGAATCCCACAGACTCCAGGGAGAAAAGGTTCAACAGTGACGACTTAACGATATCAAGAGATGGCTTGTCTTTACTTTTAGCCTCACATAGGTGTACAAAACTGC